AAGAGGAGCAGCCAGGACAGAATCCGGCGCCCCGACCGGGACTAGAACCTGGTGTGCTGGCGCCACAGATGGAGGATTAGCCTACTGAGCTGTGGCGCCGGCCTACCATGGACCTCTTAACCACTAGGCTAAATGCCTAATGTGTTTATTAGAAATTGTAAGTTGTCAAAAAAAATACAAATGAAAATGAAACTCTTAAGAGTTACTTAGAGAGATGGCAGACAGAGAGAGGGAGGGAGAGAGAGAGAGAGCGAGCTTCCATCTGCTGGTTTACTCCTCAAGTGGCCACGTTGGCTAGGGCTGAGCTAGGCAGAAGCCAGGAACCAGAAGCCAGGAGCTTTATCCAGATCTCCCATGTGGGGCCCAAATATTCAGTCATCTTCTGCTGCTTTCCCAGGTGCATTAGCAGGGAGCTGGATTGGAAGTAGAGCAACCAGGACTGGAACCAGTGCCCAGAAAGGATGCCAGCATTGGAAGCCATGGCTTAAAACAATATGCCACAATGCTGGCCCCAGGAAAATTATTTAATTACTGCCTCTGTTTCTACTCTCTTTCCCTTTCTGAGGTCCCTGATGTTTTCATTCAATGTTTTCTCTTTTTTAAAACATTTATTTATTTATTTATTTGAAAGTCAGACTTACACAGAGAGGAGAGGCAGAGAGAAAGGGAGAGAAGTCTTCCATCTTCTGGTTCACTCCTCAATTGGCCGCAATGGCCAGAGCTGCACCGATCTGAAGCCAGGAGCCAGGAGCTTCTTCTGGGTCTCCCATGCGGGTGCAGGGGCCCAAGGACTTGGGCCATCTTCTACTGCTTTCCCAGGCCATAGCAGAGAGCTGGATTGGAAGTGGAGCAGCCTGGACTCGAACTGGTACCCATATGGGATGCTGGCATTGCAGGCGGCGGCTTTACCCACTACGCCATAGTGTCGGCCCCTTCGTTCAATGTTTTCAACAAACACAGGGTCTTCAAAAAGTTCATGGAAAATTAGTATTATGCATGGATTTAAATTTTTTAGCACTAAATGTGTCTTTTTAAAAAAATTAAAATTTATTATTTATTTGAGAGGCAGAGAGACAAACAGAGCAAGCTCCCATTCACTGAAAAAAAGATTTATTTATTTATTTTGAGTCAGAGTTATATAGAGAGAAGGAAGACAGAAAGAGATCTTCCAGCCACTGGTTCACTCCCTAAGCGGCTACAACAGCCAGGGCTGGGCCAGGCCGAAGCCAGGAGCCAGCTACTTCATATGGATCTCCTATGTGGATGGCAGGGGCCCAAGCACTTGAGCCATCTCCCACTGCTTTTTCCAGGCCATTAGCAGGAAGTTAGATTGGAAGTGGAGTAGCCAGGACTCTAGCTGGTGCCCATATGGGATGCCACTGTTACAGGAGGTGAATTTACCTGCTATGCTACACATCAGCCATCTACTTTTTAATCTCCAAATGCTCACAACAACCATGGTGGAGCCAGGACCAAAGCTGGGAGTCAGGAACTCAATTCAGGTGTTCCTTATGGTGGCAGGAAACCAATGACTTGAAACATCACTGTTGTTTCCCAGGTTCTGCATTAGTAGGAAGCTGAAGTCAGAAACTAGAACCAAGTATTGAACCCTGGTACTCTAACATGGGTGTCTTAACCAGTGTTTTTTAAACATTTTTATTTATGGCCGGTGTCGCAGCTCACTAGGCTAATCCTCCGCCTGCGGCGCCGGCACCCCGGGTTTTAGTCCCGGTTGGGGTGCTGGATTCTGTCCCGGTTTCTCCTCTTCCAGGCCAGCTCTCTGCTGTGGCCCGGGAAGGCAATGGAGGATGGCTCAGGTCCTTGGACCCTGCACCCGCATGGGAGACCAGGAGGAAGTACTTGGCTCCTGGCTTCAGATCAGCGCAGCGTGCTGGCCGCAACACGCTGGCCTTAGCAGCCACTTGGCCATTGTGGGATTAACCAACGGAAAAAGGAACACCTTTCTCTTTGTCTCTCTCTCTCTCACTGTCTAACTCTGCCTGTCAAAAAAAATTTTATTTATTTATTTTTATTTTATTTGAAAGGCAGAGAGAGAAAATATTACAGAGAAAGATCTTTTGTCTTCTGGTTAATTCCAAATTGCCTGCAATAATTGGGGCTAGGCAAGGCCCAAGCCAAGAACCTGGGAACTCAATCTAGGTGGCAGGAACTGAAGTACCTGAGCCTCACCTTCTGCTTCCAAAGGTGTGCATTAGCAAGAAGCTAGAATTGGAAGTGGAACTGGAACTTGAATGCAGGCACTCAGATTTGGGAACCAGGCACCCCAAATAGCAATGTTAACCACTGTGCCAAATGCCTGCCCCTTAACCAGTGTTTTAACTGGCAGGTCAGTTGCCCACCCCAAACTTGTCTTCCAGTTCCATTTTCCCATGAACTTTTTGGTACTCTCACATTTATTGAGCAACTACCAAGTAAGGCATTGGTGATATATCATTTTGGGGGAAAATGCTTAATTTTTTGTTGATAGGAGCTTTTGAATCAGCTGTTTTATTTACGTTTGTTCTGATTTTTCAAGGGAACTTCATCCTGTGAGCAAGAGCATCTTTTTCATGGTCTGATGGTTTTTCTATATTTGTTTATCTTAATAGAGAGAGGTCTATGTTTGTCCAACTTTGGTTGCTATTTAAGGAAGAATGACAGTGGGTTTTACTAGAGGTGGATATGCGTCTGAGTGTGTCTCCCCACTGGCCTGCACATACCCTTCAATCCTTAGCAAAGGGATGTTCATGGAATTCTATTGGGGTGATAAAATATTCTACAGAAGTAGAGCCTTGAGCTGACCCCTCCTTCTAGTTACGTCCTTCTGCATTCTAACTACCAGAAATTTCTCAAAGTTCCTGGCATATGGAAGTTTTTTCCTCTATTTTTATTCCTTTGATCATTTCTATGTGAATTTAGAATGAGGCAATTTAGAAGTCTGTCCTCACAAAGACTTCTTATTTAAAAACCGCAAAATAACATTTTTCTCCTATCCCTCTCTATATTGAGAGGCACAGAAAAATTTCAAGACTCATAATTATATGTAGGTTTTAAATTTTTCATAGAAGGTCTCATATCCCTCGGGAAGCAACATGCCCATTGGGAGGTGCGAGAGTGGAATCTGCTTGTGATATGTAATTTTACTGTGGCTTTGAACAAGCTAGTTGACCTTCAGGTTCTCTAAATCTCAATTCTTACGTCATAGTGTGACAGAGAAAGCACCAGAAAAAAAATGTAGAAGCTCTTAGAACTGTTCAAAGATAGATACTAAGAAAATCTGAGGGCTTTTTGTTATTGTTTGAATGCTATGGGGCCAGCACTGTGGCTTAGTGGGTAAAGCCGCCGCCTCTAGTACCGGCATCCCATATGGGCCCCGGTTTGAGTCCCAGCTGCTCTACTTCCGATCCAGCTCTCTGCTATGGCCTGGGACAGCAGTGGAAGATGGCCCAAGTCCTTGGGCCTCTCCACTGGTGTGGGAGACCCAGAAGAAGCTCCTGGCTCCTGGCTTTGGATCAGCACAGCTCCAGCTGTTGCAGCCAACTGCAGAGTGAACCAGTGGATGGAAGACCTCTCTCTTTCTCTCTGCCTCTCCTCTCTCTGTGTAACTCTGACTTTCAAGTAAAATAAATACATCTTTTTTTTTTTTTTTTTAATGAATGCTATTATATCTTTGAGCAGTTTCAGGCTAGCCCAAAGAGCATCTCCTTGAGGGATAGCAAATGAGCCCTGGTTGCTGGGAAGCCTGGGTTATGCAAAATAGTTCTGCAGGGTAGTCAGGGCGGGACCTGCTTTGGACACTGTCATGTTGTAGACGATTCCAGAGAGTGGTGATCATGGTCCCACTTTTCTGTTAGGTCATATTACTATGCTAGGTTTATCTAAAATTCATTCTCCTCCTCCCTGCATGGAAATAGAGGCTGCTGGGTGGGTTAATTATGCCTGCATACACAACTCTTGTACTTCTGGCTGGCATGGGCAGCAGATGTTGTGTTTTTGTGGGACAACTTGAGAGTGTGTGAAAACAAACATCCATAGTTATCTCTGAAGTTTAAAGAAACTGTCTTACTGTCCCAAACAAAGTATTTCAATTTCTACCCTCTTTATACTATTAATCCTTCTTGTAATTTCTTTATGAAATCTCTGTAAGATTCAGTACAAAAGTTTCCTAATCATGGAAAAATATTGTTTTCACCAAGATCCATGACACTGCAGCTGTTTCTGCACTATGGAGATAAATGGCTATGTCATTAGTCTAGCAACTATGCTGCAGCATAGTGTGTCAATCTGCTGCCTGCAATGTTGGCATCCCATATGGGGGCCGTTTGAGTCTCGGCTACTCCATTTCCAATCTAGCTCCCTGCTAACATAACCTGGGAAAGCAACAGAAGATGACCCAAGTGATTGGGCCCTTACCACCCATGTGAGGGACTTGGAAGAAGCTCCTGACTTCTGGCTTCAGACCAGTCCACCTCCAGCTGTTTTAGCTATTTGGGGAATGATCCAGTGGATGGTAGATCTCTCTCTCTCTCTGTTTTCCTCTCTGTGTAACTCTGCCTTTAAAATAAAATAAATGTTTACCAAAAAAATTTTTCTTTCCTCTGCACAATGTTGTGCAAATGTATCACACTTGTAACCCACAGACCCAAACCGAATAGGTAACCTTAACTATTCAACAATTAATTAAAAACCTGCTGTATACCAGAAACTGTATTGGGTGCTAGTGATACACCAGTAAACAAGACATGTTTCTTGCCCTCATGGAGCTTCAGATCCAGTAGGGAAGACTAATCAAATACAGTCAGCCTTTGGTATCTATGGGCTCTAAATTGGTAGATTCAAGAAAGTATGCATCAAAAATGTTTGCACAATCTATATGGAACATGTACATTTTTCTTGTCTTTATCCCCAAACAACAGAATATAACAATTACTCACATGGCATTTGCTTTGTATTTTTTAAAAGATTTTTATTATTTATTTTAATTGAAAGTCAGAGTTACACAGAGAGAGAAGGAGAGGCAGAGAGAGAGAGAGAGGTCTTCCATCCGCTGGTTCACTCCCCAATTGGCCACAACGGCCAGAGCTGTGCCAATCCGAAGCCAGGAGCCAGGAGCTTCTTCCAGGTCTCCCACATGGGCGCAGGGCCCCAAGCACTTGGGTAAAAAAAGATAACATAGACATGGTCTTAGGGGCCGGCGCCATGGCTCACTTGGTTGATCCTCCGCCTATGGTGCTGGCATCTCTCATGGGCACCAGGTTCTAGTCTTGCTTTCCCAGGCCACAGCAGAGAGCTGGATCAGAAGTGGAGCAGCCAGGACTCAAACCAGCGCCCATATGGGATGCCAGCACTGCAGGCAGCAGCTTTACCCATTATGACACAGTGCCAGCCCCACATCACACCTTAACTTACCTTAGTGTATGCTGGATTCGTAGCAAGTGGACAGTCATCTGCCTGCATCTCTTCTTTACTCCTTGATGCTCGTAATATTCTTACAAATGGATTAGATACCTCTAGTCATGGGTGGATTCTCTGGGACCAATGAGCACATGAAATTAGTCTTTAGGAAAATTCAGATTAAAAACTAAAATGATATACTACCATAAACTCACTAGAATAGATAAAAGATAAAATAAAAAAGAATGACTGTACCAAGTGCCCATCACTCACCTCTCCTTCTCAGTGAGATACTCCACAGACCGGAACCACACGCCAAACTCCTCATCATGCTTAAAATAATAATTGCTCGCTGCCACCTGAAGCAGTTGGATTTCTTGCAGGACTTTAATTTCCTGGGGGCCAGACTGGGCCAGGCCAAAGCTGGGAACTCAATCCAGGTTTCCTGCATGTGTGGCAGGGACCCACCTACTTAAGCCATCACCACTGCATACTGGGATCTGCATTATTAGGAAGTCATATTCTACTGTTTTCCCAGACTATAGCAGAGAGCTAGATAGAAAGTGGAGCAGCTGGGACTCGAACTGGCACCTATATGGGATGCCGGAATTGCAGGCAGCAGCTTTACCTGCTAGGCCACAGTGCCAAACCCCCCCCCCCCGGCCTTTTTTTTAAAGAGCTTTTGCTTTGTATTAAGCATTACAAGTAATCTAGAGATGATTTTCAGTATACAGGATTATGTGCATAGGTTATACACAAAAACCACACCATTTTATATAAAGGACTTGAGCATCACATGATTTTAATAACCTTGGAGTGACCTGAGACCAATCCCCCATGAATATTGAGGGATGAGTATATATTAATTAGGATAAGATACTATGAATTAAATGTACATGATACGATAAATACAGATGGTAGTTGGAGAGGCGAGATCTATTTATAAAGTGGAAGGAGGAAAAGACTTTTGAAGTAACATAAATGCCTTAGGATGAGAAAAAACCTACTATGAGAATAGCAAGGGAAGAGACATTACAAGCAGAAGAAACAAAATGTCCCAAGATTTTTGACTTTCACAAAGAACTGAAGAGGGCCAGTGCTGTGGCATAGCTGTGGGTTAAGCTGCTGCAGTGCTGGCATCCCATATGGGCACCGGTTCAAGTCCTGGCTGCTCCACTTCCAATCCAGCTCCTTGCTAATATACCTGGGAAAGCAGTGGAGGATGGCCTAAGTGCTTGGGCCCCTGCATCCATGGGGGAGACCTGGAAGAAGCTCCTGGCTCCTGCTTTCGGCCTGGTCTAGCCCCGGCCATTGGGGCCATTTGGGGAGTAAACCAGTGCATGGAAGACCTCTCTCTCTGTCTCTCCCTCTCTGTAACCCTGCCTTTCAAAATAAACCTTTAAAAAGAACAAAGTCACAACAAATGATTGCTAACAGTGATTTAGGTGTGAGTGACAAAAGATAAGCTTGGAGAGAAATACCACGATTCGATTTTTTATATTTAATTTTTAAGAATTTTTTACTTTTATTTGAGAGAGAGACAGAGATCCTCCATCCTTTGGTTTACTCCCCAATTCCAGCAACATCTGGGGCTGGGCCACAGTGAAGCCAGGAGCTCAGAACTCCATCCAGGTCTCCCACATGGGTGACAGTGATTCAAGTACTTGAGCATCATCTGCTGCCTCCAAGAATGCACACCAGCAGGAATATGAATTGGGAGGGGAAGAGCTGAGACCCAAACCAGGCACTCCAATATGGGATGCAGGCATCCCAAGCAGTGACTTAACTCCTGTGCTAAACACCTGTCCCTAGACTTATATTTTAAGATTACCCCACTTGTCATATGAGGGAATGGGTAGGAGGTTAAGAATGGAAAGTAGAGAAACCTGTTAGGTGGCTGTTGCAATAGTTTATAAACTAGGAAGTAATGGAGATAGAAATGTGTAAATCCTATTAGAATGTATCTGTAGGTAGAATCAATAGTACTGTGAATAAACTAGTTTTGGGAGAAAAAGAGAGGAATCAAGTATGAGTCCCAGGCTTCTGGGTTCAGTTGCTCACCGGTGGTGATGTGACTACAGATGGTGAAGATTAGGGAGAGAGAGATTAAGAGGAATAAACAAGGGTTTGATTTTGTACTTGATAAATTTGAAATGCCTGTGAAATATCCAAGAAGCTATAACACGTAGGCAGTTGGGAGTCTGGAGGTCAGAGGAGAGGCCTGGATATATGCATTAGGAGTGAACGTTGTAGGGATAGTATTCCAGCCTTGGAGATGGGTGAGATTGTAATACAGAAATTGTAATACAGATTGATGGGTGACAATGTAATACAGAAGAGAGAACCCAGGATTGGGCCTGAAAAACTAGCCAGGTGACCAGTTCACTAATAGAAACACTGAAGGGATTACGAGGAGCATGTGGTTTGGATAGGAAATTGATGGCTTATGTTTGGAACTTGGTGAGTGTAGGGTACTGCCACTCCTAGTGTGGTGCTTAGGAAAAATGTACACATCCCCCTTTATGATGTTAATGTCATACTTGTATTTTATGTTATGAGTTGATTTTATGATACCTCTGTGAATTTTAGGAATTGGACATTCTTCATCAATGCCTGAGTTGGAACTTGGAATGAGAGAAAACACTTTACTAAGATCTGTGACACTGCAGCTATTTTTGAAGAATGTTGCTAAATGGCTCTCTGTGTCACCAATCTTAGACAGCAAGTGGCTATTTCTTTTTAGTAGTGGACAGGAAATGAAGAAAGAAGAGTTTATCCAATATTAGCAAATGCACTTTGTTGATAAAAGCTGAAGGAAATGCAATGGTGATACACTTCTATGGAGCATCTACCACATGCCGGACACTGTGCTAGTCTCTGGGCATAACTCAGAGAACAATCAGGCACTGCTATTACAGAACAGCAGGGGAGATGGGAAAATGAACCTACACATAAAATAATTGCAAAGGTGGCAAGTATTATGAAAGAAACAAATACAGGAAATAAGTTAAAGGTAGTACTTGGGAGTCTAGATAGGGCATTTAGAAAAATATTCCTTGAGGAGGTAACATTTCCTGACTCCTAAAGAATGGGGGATCAGTCATACTGAGGTTAGGAGTTGTGGCTTGCCACTGATGTGCCACAAACTTGTTTTTGGTAGTATTTGACCCAAAATAGTTAAGGGAAGCCAAATAGCTCATGCTGAAATATTCAGTAATGGCACATCAATGATGGGGAGATGTTGAGGGTAGTCTAACCCCATGGAAAGTATTTTATCACTGATGTTTAAAATTGCCTACACATGGCGATATTAAAAAGTAGCTGGGGGGGGGCTTAGTGGGGTTGAGTAGTGGAGGTTGGAATTATGGGGCAGAGGGTAAAACTACTGAATTGGGGATGTTCACATCCCGTATCAGAGTGTCTAGTTGAGTCCTGGCTGCTGTGCACTTCTGATCCAGCTTTCTGATAATGCACCTGGAAGGTAGCAGATGATGGCTCAATTCTTGGGTCCTGGGGCTGGCGCAATGGTGCAATAGGTTAACGCCCTGGCCTGCAGCACCAGCGCTGGTTCGAGACCCAGCTGTTCCTTTTCCAATCCTGCTCTCTGCTATGGCCTGGGAAAGCAGTAGAAGATGGCCCAAGTCCTTGGCCCCTGCCCCACATGGGAGACACGGAAGAAACTTCTGGCTCCTGGTTCCTGGCTTTGGATCAGCACAGCTCCGGCTGTTGTGGTCAACTGGGGAGTGAACCAGCAGATGGAAGACTCTCTCTCTCTCTCTCTCTCTCTCTCTCTCTCCCCCTCTTCCTCTCCCACCTTTTCTCTCTGTCCCTCTGCCTTTTAAATAAATAAAAATAAACTTTAAAAAAAACTAGCCTTTCAGTCAGTTTTACTTTTCTAAAATTCTCTATAGACAGTGCTCCTATAGTGGGTTGAATAGTGGCCTCCCATAGAGACATGCCTGTGTCCAATCCTCAAAACGTATGACTATTACCTTATATGGTGAATGTGTAAATATTACCTTATATAAAAATATGTGGTTAAGGATTTTGAGAGTAGGAACTTGCTGGATGGGCCTTGAATGCAATGACAAGTGTCTTTATATGAGTGAGACAGAGGGAGATTTGATGGACAGAAGAGGAGGTTGAGGATGTCCGAAGAGGCAGGGTTTGGAGTGTTGTTTTCCCACGTCAAGGAATGCTGATGGACATCAGAAACTGGAAAACAGAACAGATTCTCTTCTAGAGCCTCCAGAGGGAATACAGTTTTTTTTTTTTTTAAGATTTATTTATTTTGAGGGCTGGTGCTATGGCATAGAGGGTAAAGCTACTGCCTTCAGTACAAGCATCCCATATGGGCACCAGTTGGAGTCCCAGCTGGTCCACTTCTGATCCAGTTCCCTGCTAATGCACCTGGGAAATCAGCAGAGGATGGCCCAAGTACTTGGGCCCCTGCACCCACGTGGGAGTCCTGGAAGAAGCTCCTGGCTCCCGGCTTCCTTCGGCTCAGCCCTGACCATTGTGACCATTTGGGAAGTGAACCAGTGGATGGAAAATCTCTCACTCTCTCCCCCCATCCCTCTCTCTCTTACTGTAGTTCTACCTTTCAATAAGTAAATAAATCTTTTTTTAGAATTAAGTAAAAGAGCAAGAGAGCTTTGCTAGCAAAATGTTAACAAAAACAAGAGTGATGGAAAATAATGTAGAGAAAGTTAAATGAAAGAAAATATAATTTAGAATCAGTGCACAAACTAAATGCTCAGAAAGCAAATAGAAAAAAAAATGCATTTATTTTATTTGAAAGGCAGAGTTAGAGAGAGCGAGAGAGAGAGAGAGAGAGAGAGGTCTTCCACCCACTGATTCACTTCCCAAATGGTTGCCCAAGTATTTGGGTCATCTTTGCTGCTTTCCCAGGTGTACTAGCAGGGAACTAGATCAGAAGTGGAGCCAGCTGTGGAACCAGGCACTCTGCAGGAGGTGGCTTTATCTGCTATGCCACAGCACCAGCCCGAATGCACTCCTGACAACATCTTGATTTTGAACTTCTGGCCTCCAAAATTGTGAAAGAATAAATTGATTTTATGCTATCAGGTTGTAGCAATTGGTTACAGCAGCCACAGAAACCTAACACAGCTTATCATTACCTGAACCCAGGTGGACAGCAAGCCCTTCCTTCTCCCCGCCCGCAACTCGCTGGTTTCAATCCAGATGTTCAGAGATACAGACAGTTCTGCATTTGGCTTACATAAATCTAGAACAGGGTCTGAAGTGGTGTGTGGGGACACATTATCCTGTGTTTAAGTCTCTAATGCACTCACACCATACTTGAGCCTCAGGATTTTGATGAAGATTTTGCAGACGCAGCACTGCAATACAGTTTATAAAATCCATTTAAGGGGTCAGAGTTGTGGCACAGTGGCCTAAGCCACCACCTATATACCAGCATCCCATATGGGTGTGCAGTTCATATCCCGGCTACTCCACTTCCAAACCAGCTCCCTGCTAATTCGCCTGGAGAAGCAGAAGATGGCCCAAGTACTCGGGCCTTTCCACCCACGTGGGAGACCTGGATAGAGTTCCAAGCTCCTGGCTTCAGCTTGGCCCAACCCTGGCCGTTGTGACCATTTAGAGAATAAACCAATGGATAGAAAATTCTCCCTCTCTCTCTCTCTCTGTAACTCTGCCTTTCAAATAAATAAAAATAAATCTTCAAAATAATTGGAGAGTGAAATTATTTTATTTGCTATGATTGTCTCAGAGAAAAGAGAGGCCTAGGACTCTATTTCAAACTGAGCTAGATGAGGATCTGCCAATAGAATATCGATGATAAGAATGATGCTTTGATGGTTGGTTGGATGAATGAATGGATGGGTAGACACATGGATGGAGGAACATTTACCAAATAAGCAGCAATGGTAAATCTGGTTTCAGCAAAACGCTGTGGAAATTTCCATGCTGTACTGCTAAGTTACTTATGATTTTCTTTTTGATGCGCAAGAGCAATTTTGATCTAAAAAGTTTGACTTTACCTTATATTAGTATGTAAGCATAACTTTCATGCTTGACAAAATGCCCTGTAAGTATCCATATCTCTTTGTCTTAAAAGAAACTTTCTGGGGGCCAGTGCGGTGGCATAGTGTGTAAAGCCGCCGCCTGCAGTGCCATCATCCCATGTGGGCGCCAGTTCAAGACCCAGCTGCTCCACTTCTGATCCTCTGTTATGGCCTGGAGGGGCAGTGGAAGATGGCCGAAGTCCTTGGGGCCCTGCACTCACGCAGGAGACCTGGAGGAATCTTCTGGCTCCTGGCTTCAGATCGGTGCAGCTTCGGCCATTGTGGCCATCTGGGGAGTGAACCAGCAGATGGAAGACCTCTCTCTGCCCCTATATCTCTGTAACTCTACCTTTCAAATAAATACATAAATCCTTTTTTAAAAATCATTTTGGGGGCCGGCGCCGTGGCTCACTAGGCTAATCCTCCACCTGCGGCACCGGTACTCCGGGTTCTAGTCCTGGTTGGGGCACTGGATTCTGTCCTGGTTGCTCCTCTCCCAGTCCAGCTCTCTGCTGCAGCCCAGGAAGGCAGTGGAGAATGGCCCAAGTGCTTGGGCCCTGCACCCGCATGGGAGACCAGGAAGAAGCACCTGGCTCCTGGCTTCGGATTGGCGCAGCGTACCAGCCGTAGCGACCATTTGGGAAGACCTTTCTCTCTGTCTCTCTCTCTCTCACTGGTCTTCTCGACGGAAGGAAGACCTTTCTTTCTTTCTCTCTCTCTCTCTCTCTCTCTCTCTCTCTCTCTCTCTAACTCTGACTGTAATAAAAAAAAATCATTTTGGTTTAGGGGTTGTGGCACAGCAGGTTAAATTTGAGACACCCACATTCCATATCAGAATTCCTGGGATCAAGTTATGCCTCTGCTTCCAATCTAGCTTCCTGCTCATGTGGCTGGGAGGCAGCAGATGCTGACTCAAGTACTTGGGTTCCTCTGCTGGAGACCTGAATGAAGTTTCTGGCTCCTGGCCCAGCCCTGGCTGTTGTGAACAAGTGCATAGAAGATCTTTTTCTCCGTATCTCTCCCTATATGCTCTCCCTATTACTCTGCCTTTCAAAACAATTAAAATAAAATAGACTTTAAAAAGAGAACACAACATTTTATTTAAAAAAGTTCTGTTTGGGGGGGCCAGCGTTGTGGTGTAGAAAGTTAAGCCTCTGCCTGCAGTGCTAGCATCCCATATGGGTGCTGGTTCAAGTCCTGGCTACTCCACTTATGATCCAGCTTCCTGCTAAAGTACCTGGGAAACAGCAGAAGATGGGCCAAGTCTATGGGCTCCTGCACCCATGTGGGAGACCTGGAAGAAATTCCTGGCTCCTAGCTTTGGCCTGGCCCAGCCCTGGCCATTGCAGCCATTTGGGAAGTAAACCAGTGGATGGAAGCTCTCTCTCTCTTTCTCTCTCTCTCCTTCTTTCTCTGTATTTCTGCCTTTCAAATAAATAAATATTTTTAAAAAGTTCTGTTCTGAAATAGATTCATAGGAATTTGAAAGAAATACAAAGGTGATTCAAAAAGTTCAATGAAAATTGGAATTAGGGGCCAGTGTTGTGGTTTATCGGGTGGAGCCATGGCCTGCAGTGCCAGCATCCCATATGGGCTTCGGTTCAAGTCCCGGCTGCTCCACTTCCAGTCCAGCTCTCTGCTATGGCCTGGGAAAGCAGTAGAAGATGGCCCAAGTCCTTGGGCCCTTGCACCCATGTGGGAAGACCTGGAGGAGGCTCCTGGCTCCTGGTTTTGGATCGGTGCAGCTCCAGCCATTGCGGCTAATTGAGGAATGAACCACTGGATGGAAGACCTCTCTCTCTGCCTCTCCTCTCTGTGTGTAAATCTGCCTTTCAAATAAATAAATAAATCTTTAAAATAAAAAAAAGAAAATTGGAATTAAAAAATAAGTTTATTTTTAGTGCAAAAATTTTTGAAACTCATGCATATTTTTCATAACACAAATTTCATAAATTCTTTGAAAACCCCTTCTATGAATGGATTTCAAATTTTTGCACCAAAACACTTTATTTTGTTTTTATTTATTTTGGAAAATTTGTTTATTTTCATTTTATTTGAAAGTCTAAGAGACTGAGAAAGACAGACAGACAGAAATCTATCTCTACTGGTCTACTCTCAAATGCCTGCAACAGCCAAGATAGGAGCCGATGAAAACCAGGAGATGAGAACCCAATCTGGATCTCCCATGTGGGTAGTAGGGACACAAGTACCTGAGCCATCATTTGCTACTTTACTTTTTAAGATGAATGCAGATATTAGACTGAGAAAGTAAGTCATCCAGTTTTTATGGTAAATAGGTATATATTTTTAGAGTGAGCATTTGGTGCAGCAGTTAAGACACCACATAGGATACCCACATTCCATTTTTCCTTTTTTTTCTTTCTTTTTTTTTTTTGACAGGCAGAGTTAGACAGTGAGAGAGAGAGAGAGAGAGAGAGAGACAGAGAAAGGTCTTCCTTCCGTTGGTTCACCCCCCAAATAGCTGCTACGGCTGGCACGCTGTGCAGATCCGAAGCCAGGAGCCAGGTGATTCCTCCTGGTCTGCCATGTGGGTGCAGGGCCCAAGCACTTAGGCCATCCTCCACTGCCCTCCCGGGCCATAGCAGAGAGCTGGACTGGAAGAGGAGCAACCGGGACTAGAACCTGGCGCCTATATGGGATGCCAGCGCCGCAGGCGGAGAATTAACCAAGTGAGCCACGGTGCCGGCCCCAACCCACATTCTATTTTAGAATATCTAATTTGAGTCCTAGCTCCTCTGCTTACAATTCGTCTTCCTCCTAGTGCACACCTTGAGCAGCAGAATGTAATGCCTCAAGTACTTGAGTCCTTACCACCCATGTGGGAGACCTAGATTGAGTTCCCAGCTCTCAGGTACCTGGGGAGTGAGCCAGCAAATGAGGTCTCCTGCCTCCTCACCTTCAAAAAAAGTAAACAGATGAACAATTTTTAAATAGACATATATATATATATATTAAAGATGTATTTACTTATTTGAAAGGCAGAGTTACAGAGATGGTAGAGGCAGAGAGAGAGAGGTCTTCCATCCTCTGGTTCACGCCCCGTGTAGCCGTAGTGGCCAGAGCTGCACCGGTCTGAAGCCAGGAGCCAGAAGATTCCTCTGGGCCTCCTGTGTGAGTGCAGGGGCCCATAGACTTGGACCATCTTCTGCTCTTTCCCAGGCACATTAGCAGGGAGCTGGATCAGAAGTGGAATAGCTGGGACTGAACTGGCGCCCATATGGGATGCTGGCACTGCAGACGGTGGCTTTACTCGCTTTGCCACGGCACTGGCCACCATGTAGGTATGCACACAAAACCACAAGTCTGGTAAATGAAAAAATTCAAGTGTTTAAAAATATTTATTAACGCCGGCGCGTGGCTCAATAGGCTAATCCTCCGCCTTGCGGCGCCGGCACACCGGGTTCTAGTCCCGGTCGGGGCGCCGGATGCTGTCCTGGTTGCCCCTCTTCCAGGCCAGCTCTCTGCTGTGGCCCGGGAGTGCAGTGGAGGATGGCCCAAGTCCTTGGGCCTTGCACCCGCATGGGAGACCAGGATAAGCACCTGGCTCCTGGCTTCGGATCAGCACGATGTGCCGGCCGCAGCGTGCCAGCCGCGGCAGCCATTTGAGGGTGAACCAACGGCAAAAGGAAGACCTTTCTCTCTGTCTCTCTCTCTCACTGTCCACTCTGCCTGTCAAAAAAAAATATTTATTAACAATGAGGAACTTCTGTATAGCGTACTCTGCTTACAGGCAAGTCATATGTGAATGAGATTATATTCAGAGTATACCTGAGTGATGACATCAGAGTAAGCAGAGTGTGTGAAGTGTTTTGTAACAGTAGCCTCTGAGATGATCCCAATGATCCCTGCCTCTGAATATTCATTGTGTGACTGTAGGATTCCTTCTTGTGTGTGTAGGTTAGAAGGAATGACTTAGAGTTCTCCCATCTGCTGCTACACTCCCCAGATGCCTGCAATGGTTGGTTGGGGGCTGAAGCAAGAAGCCAGGAACTCAACCTAGGTCTCCTATGAGGATGGCAAGAACTCAGTTCCTTGAGCCAAGAATCTAATTGCTTGAGTCATCATGCTGCCCTCTCATGGTCTGCATTGGCAGGAATTGGGAGTCAAGAGCTGGAGCTGGTAACTGAACCCAGGTACTGTGGTGTGAATATTTAATCACTAGGCTATAGGTTGCTTCCTGAATCACTAATAGAGAAGTTATGGAATATAATTTCAGTGATTAGGTTACAAAAGACTATGGTTTCATCTCGAAAGCTCTTGTTCTCTTGCTAACTCTGAGGGAGGAAAATTGCTTTGTTATGAGCTGTCTTCAGGAGAAACTTCCCTCCAGTAGTGAGGAACTGTGGCCCTTAGTCCAACACCTCAGGGGAACTGAATTCTAAGGAAAACCATGTGAGTGAGCTTGGAAGTAGGTCTTCTAAGCAAACTATTTTTTTTTTAAGATTTATTTATTGATTTATTTGAAAAAGTTATAGAGAGGCAGAGGCAAAAAGAGGGAGAGAGAAGTCATCCATCCACTGGTTCACTCCCCAAATGGCTGCAACAGCCAGAGCTGGGCTGATCTGAAGCCAGGAGCTAGGAGCTTCTTCTGGGTCTCCCATGTGGGTGCAGAGGCCATAACAGAGAGCTAGATCGGAACTGGAGCAGCCGGGACTCAAACCAGCACCCATATGGGATTCTAGCACTGCAGTCGGCTTTATCTGACCCGCCACAGCACTGGCCCCATTCTCAGCAAACTCCTGGCAGAGCAGGAGCTAGAGACACCAAGCAAAAGAGCACCCAGGTTCCTGATCCACAGAAACTGTGACAACAAATGTTTGCTCCATTAAGACACCAAGTTTGAGATAAACTGTCATGTAGCAATCAATAACTATCAATCCTATAACTTTGAAACACTAATTTAAAAATAATAAAAAAGGGAATACAGGGAGGAAATAAAACATTATGGAATATAATTTCAGTGATTAGGTTATAAAAGACTATGGTTTCATCTCGAAAGCTCTTGTTCTCTTGCTAACTCTGACTCTAACTCCATGATTAAACTATTTTTTCATATAGCTTAGAAATTCTAATAACAGGCCGGTGCCACAGCTCACTTGGCTAATCCTCTGCCTGCGGCACTGGCACCCCAAGTTCTAGTTCCAGTCGGGGTGCCGGATTCTGTCCCGGTTGCTCCTCTTTCAGTCCAGCTCTCTGCTGTGGCCAGGGAATGCAGTGGAGGATGGCCCAAGTGCTTGGGCCCTGCACCCGCATGGGAGACCAGGAGGAAGCACTGGCTCCTGGCTTTGGATCAGCACAGTGCGCCGGCTGTGGCGGCCATTGGGGGGTGAACCAACAGAAAAGGAAGACC